AGAGAGAGAGAGAGAGAGAGAGAGACAAAGACAGAGACAGAAGGAGACAGAGACAGAGAGACCGAGCAAAAGCAAAGAAAAGAAGAGGGAGAAGCAGAGCGACAGAAAAAACAAAGACAGACAAAGACAGACAAATTAATAAAACGCACAACACAGAAACAAGCAGAGATAAAGAGAGATAAATAAACAGAGACAGAAGCAGCGATAAATAAATAAATAAATAAATAAATAAATAAATAAATAAATAAATCAATTAACTAATTAATTAATTAAATAAAACAAATAAATAAGTAATAAATACAGGAAGAAGGAGAGACAGAGTGAGAGAGATAAATAAATAAATAAACAGAGACAAAAGCAGAGGTAAACAAATAAACAAACAAACAAATAAACAAATAAATAAACAAACAAACAAACAAATAAACAAATAAATAAACAAACAAACAAACAAATAAATAAATAAATAAATAAATAAATAAATAAATAAATAAATAAATAAATAGAATATGATTAGCTTGCCGCTCCATCAGCTGTTTGTCTGTCGTAAAGCTGTATCTGCGACAGAGACAAATAATTGCTGCTAGCATGCGGGCATCTGCTGTCTCTGGGGTGTACATACAGCCCGACTTAAGCATATCAACACCTGCTGCTGCTGCGCTATTTACTGCTGTTGTTGCTGCTGATATATGCAGCGGGTTTCTAATAGGCCGCTCCATTGTCACGTGCTTGTGCCGCCTTGTCTGCAGCTTCTTGCTGCTGCTGCTGCTGCTGCTGCTGCTTCTCTTGCTGCTGCTGCTGCTGCTCTTGCTGCTGCTCTTCGTGGTGCTCTTCCCACCACCCGCGCTGCTCCTGCTGCTGTTCTGCTTCTTCGCACTGCTGAACAGAGCAATCTGAAGCAGCAAATGCTGCTTCATCAGCTGCTGCTGCTGCTGCTGCTGCGGCATGTAGAAGAGGCCTATAGAGCTTGCCCGACGAAGCAGCGGCGAGCAGCAGCAAGAGCAGCAACTGCTGCTGCTGCAGAAGCTGCTGCTCTTGCTGCTTCTCCTGCTGCTGCTTGGCCACCAATCGGTGCTGCGCCAGCTGCCTCTGCTAGGTGATCCATACGGGTAGCGCAGCAGCAGCGGCTGCTGCTGCTGCTGCGGCTGCTGATCATCTTGATTTAGCTGCTGCAGCAGCGGCTGCTGCTGTAGCAGCAGAGGTACGCGACTGTGTATGACCTGCAGCTGCTGAAGAGGCGAAGGCCTCCCCTTTAGATGCATGACGATGTCTTGTAGCAGCAGCAGCAACTGCTGCTGCTGCTGCCCCTCAACAGCAACAGCAGCAGCAGCAGCTGCCGACGCGGCAGCGACAGTTGCCGAAGCAAATGCAGCAGCAGCAGCAGCAGCTGTTGCTGCTGCTGCAGTACCTGCGCCTTCTGCTGCTGGGGGCCCCTGGGGCCCCCCAGCAGCAGAAGCGCAGCAGCAGCGGAGCGATAGATTTAGAGTTTTCTGCGGTGTACGTACACCTCAAAATATCCGCTTTTGGCTTCTTTCATGCTGCATTTGTAGCAGCAGCAGCAGCAATAGTAGCAGCAGCAGCAGACGCTGCTGCTGCAGCGATGCATCGATGCGCTGCCGAGTGCTCGCGGCCCCACACGGTAGCAGGGCTACTGTTTGCTGCTGTTTGCTGCTGCTGCTGCTGCTGCAGTTGTTATTTTTGTTCTCTTGTCATTTTGTCTTTATTTCCGCTGCTGAAACGCTGAATATGCCCAAAGACAGCAGCAGCTGCTGCTGCTGCAGCAGCAGCAGCAGCAGCAGCAGGAGCCCAACCCTGGGGGGTGGTCAAGGTCTGCTGCTGCGGGTTCTACAGAGTTTTATGAGTTTGTTGTTGTTGTTGTTGCTGCTGCTGCTTGTGTTAGGTCCGGATCTGCAGCAACTTAACAACTTCAGCAGCAGCAACAGCAACAGCAGCAGCAGCAGCAGCAGCAGCAGTCTGTTTGCTGCTGCACAGTGACGCAGGCCCCTAAGGGTGCGGAGGCCCCAAGGTAGAGAAGATCGATTGGGTTTGCTGCTGCAAGGTGCTGCAGCAGCAGGAAGGTTAGTGTACAGTACTGCTCGTAGACGGCCAGCAGCAACTGCAGCAGTAGCTGCTGCTGCTGCTGCTGCTCTTGCTGCTGCTGCTGTCTTCCACAAAGCGCGTAGGGAGGGCCTTTTACTCTCTACAAACCCCGCATCCTTCTTGCTGCTGCCACCAGAAGCACATGTACGTTTGCTGCTGCAGCAGCAGCAGCAGCAACAGCAAAACACTCTGCAGCAACAAGATGAGGTGCGCATACACCAGGCAGTCTCGGATGTTTTAAACAGCCACGAGCAGCAGCAGCAGCTGCTGCAGCAGCAGCATCAGCAGCAGTATGAGCTGGTGCAGGGCAGCAGTAGGGGATTAGAGGTAGCAGCAATCCGAATGCCTGTCAACAGCAGCAGCACCACCGACTTTGCTGCTGCTGCTTCTGACCTGCTGCTGCTGCTGCAGCAGGAGCTGCTGCTGCATAACCAGCAGCAACAGCAGCACGCAGGGCCATCACGTGCGCGGTTGGTTGCAGCGACAGCAACGCGACCAGCAGCAGCAGCAGCACTTCCTGCTGCTGCTGCTGCTGCTGCTGCACCAATAGTCGGCCTGCTGTGGAGGGGGCCCCTCACATGGAAGCTGCTGCCTCTGCGTGTCTCCTTTCAGCGGCAGATAAACGTGCTGCAGCAGCAACAGCAGCAGCAACAGCAGCAGCAACAACAGCAGCAAGAGCAACAGCAGCCAACAGTGCAGCAGCACGGCCTTGCAGCGGGCCCGACGCAACAGCAGCAGCAGCCAGAACAGCAGCAGCAGCAGCAGCCAGAACAGCAGCAGCAACAGCAGATTGCTGAGGTTTGGTTGACCCTGGGAGAAGGCAGCGAAGCGGAGCATCTGCTGATTCGACTTGTGCCAACCTCTGCTGCAGCAGCAGGTGCAGCAGCAGCAGCAGCAGGAGCAGCAACAGCACCTCTGCAGCTGGAGGTAGTTGCCGTTGGTGGTCCTGCTGCTGCTGCAGCTGCTGCTGCTCGTGGGGTGTCTCTGCTGCAGTTGGATTTGCTACTGTCAATCGCAGATCTGCTGCAGGAGAGGCTGCATCAGACTCAGCAGCGGCGGCAGCTGCTGCTACAGCAGCCTGGGGCCCTCACTAGAAGGAGAGCAGCAGCAGCGAGCGGCAGCAGCAGCAGCAGCAGCAGACGGCAGCAGACAGCCTTTCTAGGTGCTGCTGTGAGTGTGCGGCCTCTGCCTGTGAAGCCTCATGTGGGGTGTCTCTATTAAGCGGAGACAGCTGTCTCCTCTGTCTGTTTGTGCTGCTGTGTGTGTCTCTATCTGCTGCTGAAGATTTCAAAGGATGCAGCCTAATAGAAGAAGCTCAGGAGATATAGAGGGCGTCTGTATAAGGGTGGGGTTGTTGTTATTGAGGTAAAAGAGCTCGAGTGAAGCAGCAGACAAAAAGCCCTAAGGGACAGTTTGCTGCAGAAAGGAGACGCCTTAATGCAACGCCTGCAGCTGCGCAGACACCCCAAATACAACCTTTAAAAAAAGAAACAAAGACATTTAAAGACAAAAATATATGCGCAGAGACAAAGATAAACAAATACAGAGACATAAAAAGATTAAAAGAAGCACAGAGAGACAGAGACAGAAAAATAAATAGAGACAGAGGCAGAGACAGAGACAATAACTTTAGCAACAAACAAGAGAGGGGAGACAGACGCTTACAGATGCAGTGGGTTTAGGGTTTAGGGTTTAGGAATAAATGCAGCCAAGCAGAGAAGGATGGGAGAGACAACGAGTGTTTAGGGTTTAGGGTTTAGGGTTTAGGGTTTAGGAGAGAGGTTAAGTGAGTTCTTGGATGCAGCGACGGGAAGAGTAGAGACAGCAGAAAAGGGGGATCAGATGACGAGCAGCAAACTGTGAAGAGAGACAAAAGACTGCAAAGTAGAGGACAGAAAGGAGACAGCAGCAGAGACACCGAGACAAAAAGGAGACAGTTATTAGAGACAGTGCAGCAGCAGAGAATTAGAGAGAGGTAGGGAAGCAGAGAGACAATGAGGGGCAGGTTGTCTAGCACTGCTGCTGCAGCTGCTGTTGCTGCTGCTGTTTGTCGCTTCTCAGTATGCTGCTGTTGCGTCTTCGCGGCGCAGGGAGCTGCAGCTGTCTCTGCAGCAGCAGCAGCAGCTGCTGCTGCTGCAGCTCGAGTACAAGTGTCTCCTTTTAACTGGACAAAGGAGACAGGGCTGCTTGCTGAGCTACCGTTTATCTGCTTAATCTGATAGGGGGGCCTTTTCATTTTAATATTTTTAGAGGCTGTCTCCTGAGATAAACAGAGGAAAAGAAGAACGCCTACGCCGATGTAGCTCAGTCGGTAGAGCGCGAGGCTCTTAACCTCGTGGTCGCGGGTTCGAGCCCCGTCGTCGGCTGTTTT